TACTTTTATTTATATATGATGGGCTTCCGATTCGAGTTCACATAATATTCTTCATTTGCTCTACGTATTGGTATGTTTGGTATTTTATCAGCGAACGGATTGACGAGCATTGGGAAGTCGACTATGATACCGCAACCATTACGTGTCTAAACAATACGTTCTATCAAGGTATGTTGTTACTAGCCCAAGGTCGCTAGTAATTGATGCAACGGTACTATGTATTGCCTTGTTCGTGTCTTGGTCTAAGCTGGTCTGAGAACATAATGTTAAAAATTACAAACTCGTGGGATTTACTATCTCGACCTACGACTATAATGAAGCACGAACTTCATATCTGCACTCATAAGGAGACTATACACACTGCGTTACATCATTGTCATTGCTCTCTTGGGCAAACTATAGCTAACTTATCACTCCTCAGTCACTAACGACAACCAATTTATTCATTGCTGACACTACTGTATTTTTCCGTGCAGTTTACCATATAGTAAGCTTCATATCATCCTGCTGCTCTCTTGCACACAAATCTCTTCACAGATGAGGTATATCCGATGTCAAAAACGAACAGCGATGTGTTTGAGCAGTCCATCCAACCAATGATCGACTCAGCATTCAATGGCATTAACGGTAAGGAAAATGAGACGTCGATCGAGGGCCTATAGCTGCAGCCTATAATCAAGCATACAATATCCGACAGATACTGAGTGTTGAATTTAGATGTAGCTCAGATGTGTGCGCGTACGCGAACATTAACGGATCTGCACCATGGCAGTGGTGATGATTCAGTTAGATTACAGGTATGCAGCCCCTCCATTCAGACCTGGTATCGTATGTAGCTGCAGTCACATTTCTATAGGCTGTCGCACCTGGTGAACTACATGTTGTACACAAGTACTACATATAGCAGGTATCTGCCCGCGCCAACATGCTGACCTACGAAAGACGGAGATAAAGTGCGTATGTAAATATGTACAATTGGATGCGGGTACCATGAACACGTTGACGCATATGGAACGGAATTTCACTAACAAACCATGTCTCAATTTTGTATAAAACTGCGACAGTCGCTGTTTTGGTCTATGGACAAACATCGAGCGGCAAAACGGTAAGTTCGCATGCATGTGTTGATTCGAAAGTCTGTACACTTGCACATATAGTATTCGCGCTTCTATAGGTTTACTTGTACAAGACCCACTCTGAACGACCCCAATAGTTAAGCCGGGGCGGGTCAAACACTCACAAAAACAGCATAATCGGCCTTTAAATACTCGAACTACGTGTGAATATTTCATGCTCAAGTAGGTTGTTAATATACGGCGCACTTAATTCAACAGCACACAGTACGTGGGTCTAAAAAAGAAGCTGGGATCTTGCCTTTGGCAGTACAAGAGATATTTCGCAGAGCCGAGGGTATGCAGAGTGGTGGCGAGTACTCCTTTGCAGTGAGCTATTACCAGATATACAATGAGAAGATCAGCGACATGTTAAACGGAAGCGAGAAGGCAAAAGACCTGAAAGTGCACTCGAATAACGAGGCAAGCTATATGATACGTGCAATTTTTATTGGTGCTTTCTTGCCAAGGCGTGTGTTTTTCTGATGTCCATCGAATTCGTGGTTTCTAATGTGGGGTTTTTCGCAAACAAGGTTGAATGTGCGAAAGGATTGAGTATTCATCCAAACCCTAAAACCCATTCTTAAATGTAAACACATCTAAGTGTGTGCTTGGTAGTAAAGGAGGAAATGGTCTTAAATGTTTGTGGGCATATATGTCACTACTCTACATTCTTAAATGCAAACGCATCTAAGTGTGTGCTTGGTAGTAAAGGAGGAAATGGTCTTAAATGTTTGTGGGCGTATATATGTCACTACTTATATGTCACGTATTTGGAAGACTTGATGCATACTAAAGCTTCAAAAACCATGTCACAATCGAGTAGACAGCAAGCCTTTAAATATGTAGAGTGCTGATGCGAGGTTGTGAGGAGGAAACTCACATATGTATATTAGTACGATCAAACTCTCACTGACAGCCATTGAAAGTTCTTTGCCGCGTTTACGAGTTTGAGCCCCTACTCTCTCCTGAATTTCCGTATTAGGGGTTATTTTATTTTTATTTTTATTTTTATGGACTGACACCCTATTCGAATTGACTCAGGGGACTGCGGTGATTCAAGATTTGACATCGACACCTGTCACATGCTACAATGACGTTACGCAACTGCTAAAGCAGGGTGACGGTAAGTATAGTGGAATGGTTCTTGTACTTATGTACCGTCTCTATTTTTACTATTCGTTTACTCTTATGTCGTAAGTTGAACCTTAATTCGGAATCACTCGTTCATGAGCGATGCTCTTATATATTCAATAAAGCTGCAGTGGTTTCGGTGTTTCAGAGAAAGGGCGGGCGTGGGTTGATAGACACAAACGTACTTGTGCCGACGCCTCAAATCTGGCTTCAACTATTCTTATGTGAAAGTCATCAATACCTCTAATGGAGACGTTGCCACGGAGTTTTCAGTGCAATCTGAAGACGCATTAGTTTAGTTCTGAATACTGTTCTTGTTGTTTCTTTCCATACAGCACGTCGAGTCACCAGAGAGCACGAGATGAATGCGACCAGTAGTCGGTCTCACGCCATTTTCAGAATGGTAAGCATCATGTATTTCCCACGTCCCACCGATTGTGCTATCATATACTCATTTAACGTCGTGGTTGCTAAGGGTATTCAAGAGCTGTCGGCGTCCATCTAGAGCATGTAAAGCTTGGTAGTCTGGTAGTAGAGCACACTAGTAGTAGTCCACTTATGATGTATGTTGGGAAGGTCGAAAAATTCGGTTGAGAGGGTGCTTTTGCAGCAGGCAATTGTCCGACCTCGAAATAGCATTTATTCTAAGATGGTTAATACGCCCATGGTGAAACAAGCGGCATGTTCCAGATGCTATGTTCTGTATTACTGAAGGAATTAATTGAAATAGCATGAAAGGTGTCTGGTGTATACGGAACTCGAGGTGCTCAATATTATCATTTTAACCTCCCACTACAGACTTTGCAAAGCAAATATTGCGACAACGCAAACCCTGGGCACAAATCAACTGTGGTATGTGGGAAATAATTCGTTCGGACATGGTGATGGTATCAAGATATATATAAGTGCTATAATCTCGTGTTAAACTTTCCGCGTGAATGTAAGCCTATGCAATGTACGGAAAGCATCACTTGAAAGGTTGAAGATTTCGGCTCGCACATGTTTTTAAGCACATGCGTTGTTCAAGCGTGACATGCCAAGAAGGGCGTATAAGAAATACTCAGGGCTTTTACTATAGATGCAAACTACCCTTCTCAAATATACAATGCCAAAGTTTGGATTTGTAATGATGTGAAACATACATCGTCATGATGGTACAGTTACAATAGCGCACACTTTATCTCACAACTCAATACCGAGCCGCCATACTCAGACAGCGTAACCAGCGGCGCTTTGGAGACAAGTATTACTCCTACCACACATGTATAAGCGATATAGTGTCGAGTATAGCTCGTTGATCCAGCCCACGGGCGTTGCATTCGGATTATGTTACCATGGAAACGTAAAGAAGTGTGTCAAGTGGGGTCTGACTCACTCATCCAGGTTGCACACAAGTATATGGTGCGGCTTACTTGAGAGGGTGAGCTGCAGTCTTAGCTATATGTATCCCCGATAACACCTTGTACCACTTCATCAAGGAAGTTTTATTAATGTTGTCCTCGGCTTAACTAAAACAAGTCCACAACCCACAAGCCCATATACCTAAAACCCAAAACGAAACCATACTTACTATATTTTAGACCGTTGTGGATCTGGCGGGTAGCGAGCGACTCAAAAAGACTGGCGCGCGTGGACTAGCAGCAGCCGAAGGGTAAGCCAGACTAGTTGTTGCTTCGTAAATGCCATTCCCATGCATTCACATATCTTGGAACTACAAGCATTTATGGCTCGCATAAAAGTCATACTTTGTTGTTGTATAATGCATGGCTAGATTGTTGTGAATAGCAAGTGCACCAGAACATGGTATATCTGCGTAGCATCAATTTCAAACTTTATGGTCCTAGATGGCCCACAGACTTAATCGTTTATTCAAAGACTTTTTCATCACTGGTTGGGCGAGAACCTTATTTCGCTGTGGTTAAGAAACTTCATACTCACTTCAGGAATATGGCGAAGTTTTGTTGGGTCTAGGGCGACGACCGTTGTTAATATTATAACTGCATGTTTTCACACCTAGTTCAGCGGGCTTTGACCTGTGCTATACGAATGTGTGTAGGCAACTATGGATCGATTAGTACTGCAGAACGATACCTCCAATGAAAGCGGAATTATTCGCTTCAAAATGGGGATTTATGGCAAAAGCATGGGCAGAGTCACTTCTGACAACTGTCAATGGTAATCCAGGTGTAGTGGACAGTTGCTCACGCAAAATATGAACTACAACAAGTGCAATTGCCGATCTCATGCATTTTTAATACGGTACGCTCTTACAGGGTGAAAATTAACATGTCCCTTCTCGCACTCGGTCGCGTCGTGCAAGGATTGGCCGAGAGGGCGCAAAGGTAGGCGGCACACTTTTCAGAGCTATACGTTATGTGCACAGAGGATACACGTGGCAGATCAATGCCCGTACCTGAACAGGTGCTACAAGCAACAAATGATTAAGCTGAGCACCATTTGCGTGTGTTTAGTATATGTGTAGGCTAGGTTGACTTAAAAAACTGTCCTAACCCATCAAACACACCTTCTAGTGATCACCAGCTCTACTTGCCTTGCTGTCCAAGTCGCCTATATATACATACAGCTTATCCCGCTGTCTTTATACAACAGGACATCCTGTCTGGCGGAACAGCCGACGGAGGCTGCCCAGGGCACGTTTGAGTTTGAGGCAGAGCTCCCAGCTATTCCGAAATTGGAGGGGCAGGTATAGCAGAAACACAAGTCAACCCTTCTGACCCATCTTGATACGCTCGTGATTTTTGTTAAGCTTTGTTATGTTGTTTCAGATCAAGGCATATAAACAATCAATTGCGTTGCTCGACCACATTTCAACCTGATTGTTAAATCGCATACCTCGGCTGACCTGACAGGGTCTCGAAGTGCGGTCCAGCGCGAGTACACTTCCAACCAAAAAAGAGTCATTCCTGAAACGAGCGACCTCTATTAACAAGAAAAAGAAGAAGTTCAGAAAGCGAGGTACGCCACACGGACAATCTAGCCTCATGTGTTGTGTAGTGTCCGAGCGGCTCAAAATTTTGCATTTTTCTCACCTGTGCCAATTTCGATTTTTATTTCTAACTGCGGTGTGGTGTGCGTGAGTGTGTATAAGCCAGGTGGTTGTGCTCTAGTTGCTGCCTTTGGCAGCGGTTGAGTGCGTTTTCATCCAGACGGCATCTATCGAATGTTAAGAATGTGATCGATAGCAATATTTGCCGCCACTGAGATCTGGTTATGTATATCGACTCTGAAGAGATTCTCACTCCTGACTCTGCACGATTGGTTCATTCCGGTTGAATTCACATCTCGAATGACATTCCACACTTGCCACTCGCTACAAGAGTAAGCACCTATCGTAGTATGTGCATCGCCCTAAATCTCAAGGGTATGTACTCAGTTCCGCGTATGCGATAGTCTGTATCTGAGTACATACTAATCTGTAACAGACATAGGCACATCTTCAGCAACACATACGCAACCATCTGCTCTGAATAACTTTCTTTGACCGCAGTAAGACTCATATGTATACATCAACGCAGAGAATGCCTTATAGTGCAAGCAAGTAGCTTCTCACCACAGTCGCAGTCACAAATAGGACACACAACTGGTAACAGTCATGCTCAGTGCACTTATACCAATCGGGTAATACTCTATACGTCCCACCACCCGCAGTGATTTTTGAGCCTTACTCTGAGTACAGACAGCATTGGCGCACTATCAATCACATACACAAACAGCATACCTACTTCTATCAAACACGCACACAAACAACATACCTACTTCTATCAAACACACACACAAACAGCCACCAAGCACAGACACAAACAGCATACCTACCGCTATTTCTCTGACACTTCTTCTCTGCTTGTCCGGCCTATCAGCGGAATCCCAGGACACCGTCAGCGTGTGTAGCATCGCCTCACAGCCGGTAAACGGGTCCAAGTCTGACCACGTGCCCTTCCGGGACTCCAAACTCACGCGCATTCTCGAGCCGTCACTCACCGGCAACTCTCTCACGCTGGTGGTGTGTGCGGTGTCCATGTCTTCCACGAACCGGCATGAAACCACCAGGTGTGTTGGTTGCGGCGTCCAACTCTTAAGTATCTAGTTTTGTGAAAAGGGGCGCTCTGTGTCTGGTCTTAGGGCGTAGAGGTGAATCTATCCTACCTACTAAAGTATATTGGGATTTAGGGGTTGCTGTAGTAGGGATGCGTAGTAAGTATTGCAAAGCGTGCAAGGTGTAGTTTGGGTTGCATGTCCGTCTAGTCGCACGCAGACAGTCGTATTTGGGGCGCAAATCGAACGAAAAACAATCTGAAAAATGTTCTAATAACGTGCTCCATTCATATACAAAAAGCGATAGACACGTTTGATTTTCATTAGATCCCGGATTCATACCTCCGCACTACCTTTCTACACACATGTCTTCGCTCAGTCAATCCTTTAGTGGTTGCGCTTGAGAACTGACAATCGCAACAAGAATCGATGCAGTCACCTGCTGAAAGAGAGGAAATAGCTCCATCACATGTTATGAAACGTATACACAATTTGACCCACCATGCTTTTTTCTGCAGTACCTTGGGATTTGCTGCGAACGCCAAACTCATTCAGTGTCAACCGGTAGTGAATAAGGTGAGGGCTGACTTCAGCGTTGTTGAGTTTTCTGGATTGCTTTCATATCCACACGCGATCGTTCACGTGACTAGAGGTGGCACGACTCAAAACTCTCGCAATGTTCCTTTTTCTTCTGTTTTGAACTTTTTTCTACTTCGTGCATTGTACGTACATGGATGTATGAGCTTTGCAACACAATCATAAGCTCGACACTTGAGAATGTACTCTCATGCTCAAGTAGACTCGTTGATATTTGTGCATAGGGACTCGCGCGATTCGATGAAAATGAGTGTTCTGTCTTGTTAAGCAAGAAGCATTCTACCATGACAAGATACTTACGATACAGTAGCAGAAGCTACACACTTCGCTGCAGACTGCGTTAAACGACTCTGCTGGTATAATTATTTGTCCCATTGCAGTTCACACACTCTATAGAAAGTATGTCGAGGGCGGGACATCTTGCGAAGTGAAGTGTCAGTTCCAGACTGGTAATAACACTTCTCCCGTACTTCGGCCATATAGGTCGCCGTATCTCCACGAACACAAGTGAAACGGCTACAGTCAGAAAATGAGGCACTTAAGCAACGGCTTCAGGAGGTGTGACAATTGTATTGGCGTAGATGTGCACGATCTTTCCCGTGAGGTTCAATATACCACGCACAGGTGACAGTGTACACATGCATCTTGTACAAAGTGCAACTACTGCATCTACAAGCACCGATGCAGTTTCAGGGGTTAGTATCTAAATTATCAATGAGCAGACACTGAATCATATCTACAGACCTAGTGTTTTATCTTGCAGCTTAGCCTCGCAACGCTTTACTTGGATACATAACGCGCATTCTGTTGCTAAGCAACAAGACGGATACAAAACCTGACTTGAGATTGTCTTGTCCACACCCTTCAGGCGGAAGCAGAGTCGTCCAAAGCCGCGGAAACTCTGGCTGAGGAAGCCGATCAGACGGCACAGGCCGTCAGAGCTCTTGAGCTGGAAACATCGCAGAAGGTCAAAGCGTTGGAGACGGCAGCCGTGGCACGTGTGCAGGCGCTCGAGAAGGCACTCGCAGAAGCCAAGAAGATATCCCACCAATTGCCTCTGAATTTTAAAGGTATATTTATTGCTGGTAGCTAATGCCATTACCCAAGACTTGGCTTTTTCTGTTTATTTCGTTGTGTACGATGAATTATATGGTTGTTATGTCACTCATATAATTGTACAAACCTTGTCCCAATTCGATATTACAGCAACTACGTCAATGCCCAAGGCGACGGATACGAGTTCCGATGGCGCACAGGCAAGCACCAGTGGAGGGTCACCTCTGCTGACTCGTAGACGCCCAACTGAATTGTACAACCACCGCGAGCGGCAGAATCGAAGTGTTACATGGGCACCGCACTCACACCTGCGGGGCGAGAAGAGGTAGGTAAATTAGTGCCATTATACTAGGCACATAGCACGACGTTTCCGCCGTATCACAGTTGCTGCTGAATTTACATACTAGACTTGAATGTGTATTGTTTGGTACTAAATTTACAGGCAAGGTTTAAATGTGTCGTCTTTGGTGGGGAATCCAACGAAATCCAATCACCCACAATATCGTTAGCGTGCGAAGGGTCAGCCATTATACACTGTACTCAAAAGCAGCATCCATGACTCTCAAGAACTGATTGGTCACGATGTGCTAGTATCTACAACTAAACGGCATCAATCATTAAGACAATTCTTTCCTCTTGTTCTTGACTTGCCGCTGAATTCATCATAATCCTTCCCCACCGTCCCGGTCGTGCTCAGGGCCAACAGCCCGTTGATTAAGCGCAGACTTTCACCCACCAACGGGTCACTGAGCGGACGGAGCATGCCATCACCTGTGGCTGTGCGTAGAGCAATGGCAGAGAGAGACAGCGACCAGCGCACCCTTGCAACGCCGAATGGCAGCACACTGGAGGAAGGCCCCAACCCCAGTCTGGGCATGCTGCTGCGTGTTAAGGAGAGCGGGAGTGAGGAAATTGCCGCAATGACAAACGATACACAAACGGGCGAGGATGGTGTAGACAACACTGGAGTGGCGGACGACACGGCGACAAGGCCCGTAGTAGCGGATGGGTTGTCGGGTGGCAGTGGTGATACATGCAAGACAGCGGAGGTCGGTTGCACTGTTGAGGCCACCGTGTTCTCAGGGACTTCAGTGGACGGGGCTACGCGACAGACGGTTGGTATCAGCGACACAGGGGATGTACTTAGTGGATTGGAAGCAAGTGTTAGTGAAGTGAGTATAGTGACTGAAATGGACAACACCAGCAAGGATACGGAGAAGGTTGAGGATTGTGATGACGAGACTGCGAGCGTGAGTTTTGATTTGAACGGAGACGGGAGTGAAGACGTTCAAGAGGAAACCGTTTCAAAAGTGCGAATGGAGGAGATCATGGAGAACTATAAGGTAGGGTCCTCTGCTGTTTGTCAGTTTATCGCAGTTGTTACATCACAGTTGTTACGGCAGTAATTGCGTTGATTGTTGATTGCTATGTGAACATAAGAACTTCGAGTGGTGTGCTCTCAACAGATACAGTGATAATCTCAATGCATGTATATCGAGCGACGTTGTTAATGGCACTGCATGAAGCTCCCCACGTATTCTTTATGAAGCTGTAGCTGAAATCAGGTTTATCACTACTGTTCCATGTCCAGTGAGGCTGTTTTGTTGTTTCACGTGTCCTTGCCTGCCGGATAGATTTATTTCTAAGCATAAACTTTATAACTAAGCAGAAGCGTCTCAAAACAGCAGGAAACTAAATAGCCGTCAGACACTGACAGTACCAAGATCTAGCTCTACATAGCACTGGATATCATAACACCCTGAAAAGCCCCTATCCAACCCTCACCATCCTAACTCTACTGTTCCTTTCATTGGTTCACTATAACCCGTAGACGCGAGTGGTAAACCGAGATAACAGTCGCCTGCGCCTCATTTCGCAATTAAAAGAGACGGTGGCAGAGAGAGACAATCAGCTGACCGAGTCTGGCTACGCCGCGCTCAGTCAAAAGTTATCTGTATGTTCTGGAGTGCCCTTTTTATGTTGCATGCTCGAGAGACTTTTCCTACACTATATCAGGCGTATGATCTACATGCTTCCTATATTTTAGTAGTCAATCAGTATCGTAGTAAAGTAAAATAGGAACTAGAATTAGTCGCCAGACTTCTCTCCTTGATATGTCTGCGGAAATTGTGTCACAAGCTACTCACTGCGTTAATACGACACCCTGTTACAGGTGGCAGAGGGCCGGATCATCTCTATTTCCGAGCAACTGTCGCTGACTCTGGTGTCTCTGAGTGAGGTGCAACAGAAGTACGAGGACGCCAAGGAAGCGGCGGAGGACCACGCTACGGAGATAGAAGCTTTCCGCTTAGAAAGAGAGGAGATAATCGAGAAGTGTAAAGGGGTATGTACTGTGTATAAGCGAAGGGCGGACGGCGTTATACGGGTTTACGAGTGTTTTGAAGCTTGTATTGTATGGCGAATTGGAGTGTATTTGGAATAGAAAGTGGTGAGGGTTGAATCGTCCGCTGGCGAACCAATAACTGAAACCGAATGTGCTGTATGTTGTACCGAACTATTTGCAAGCGTTCGGGTCCGTCTGGCAATGCCATGACAACACATCCCGTTTATTAGGCCTCGCGTATCGAAAGCAGAACACCCGCATTTGCTGTTGTCACGGCAACAAGGCTAGTGTCACCCTGTACCGCAACCACTTCTATGCTGCAATTCTGGGAAGGACACTGTGGTATGCATGTCACAATACTATCATCCAATAAATACGATCACGGACTTTTACCTACTCACCACGTCGAAGTGTCATAGTACCATGTGTATTATTGTTTATGCTCATGTCATCGTCGTTTTCCTTTGTCCCCGTTCTTGAAGGTGCTGGACAGGCAAAGGGAAAAGGCCAAAGCAGCAACGCTCAAGATGCACGGTATAATGCGAATGGAGTGGGAAGATGACCTAAGAAAAAGTGAGATGGAACAGAATATACTTAAATGCCAAATTGAAAGTGAAAAAGAAACTGTCGCCCAGCTAGCAGAGGAGCTGAAGTTGTCACTTGTATGTTTGTGTATAACTTTTCTCCCCGATGTTTATATTCTGCACGCACTAATCGTACGGCTCGTCGCTCGAAGCGAATTACGTGCTACTAATACGTTGAAGCGAATGTCAGTGCTGTCAAGACTAGCCAACAAGAAACCCGAATGTTTTGCTTTTTTGCAGCTATTTTGCTGAAGTGGTGGCTTTTATTATGTCCATAGCGTAGCTTAGCAATAGCCTTTTTCATGTACTGGAATGTCCCCATTGACCCGGATGGTTGACAGTGTACTACTGTCTGGTAGTAGGGAATATGTACCACCCACCGGCAACCACTTTATCAGTGCACTGTGGGGCTAGCTTATCTACCACTCGACATCTGTTGCGCCTCGGTTAGTTCTACCTTGTCGCTTGTAAATGTGGCTGTAAGTCCCCCCCCCCCCCACCCTAACAAAGCACTCCGTCTTATCGTTGTTCATCGTGGGCACGCTGCACCTCGAGACATAGCTCGCACTATACTGTTCCATCGGCAGAGGTGATGCGCTCTGGAGTCGACTGTGATGTTCATTGTGCTGTGAGGAGTGCACCACATGCCTCTCATGGTATCTGGTAGCTCGTAGCAACCATTGAGATCTAGATCTAAACCGAATACATTGAAATCACCTTACCGCGTGCATGTATCCGTGGAGTCCACAGCTCAACGCGCATACACGGTACCTTTCACGCGCTGATGTTCCCTTGCGCACACAATTGATAGGAGGACTACGAGTATGCGAGCGAAGAATACGACAAGCTTGTGATTGAGTTGGAAGAGGAGACGGACAAGGTAGAGACTCTGGAGGCAAAGTGCACGAAACTGAAGGCGATGGCACTAGAGCTGTGTGATCACTACTTTGCCTGCCATGAACGTGCAATGGTATGTGATTGTGCGCAGGGCATACTTTCTGTGTGCTTGTACCATGGGGTGTCTACAACATTCACGTGTCGTATTAAACCCTTCGCGGCTGTTTGTCTGCTGCTGTCTGTGTTGTTCGTCAGTCTCGTCTACAAAGTATGACACCGTCTTTCGAGCGCATTCTCAGCACTTTAAGCCGCTCGTTGAACCACGCCAACGACCGTTAACTTGCGTATCCATTGATTTCACCCGGTCGGTGGTGGGTACGTACGCGTTTTTTTTTTGGCTATTTCCCGCCCATTGCCTGCACATGCCTCATTCGCTTTAACACGGCTAAACAAAACCGTTGGCGTCTTGGGTAGTAACACATACTGGCTACACATGTCTCAGCCTCTCTAGTTCTAAAACCCTAAAACCCTACAACTGCTGGTGGTGCTCACCGGTGTATAAATACGAAAAAGCAATTTTGGTCCTTTCTACTTTTCGCAGAAAGAAATTGAAGATCACGAAACAGATGTCAAAGAGGCCGACGAACGCGAGGATAAACTTCGCGAACAAATCAAAAGTGACGCAGAGAACAGGGTGAGTGACACAGAACACTAGCACCAAATAGCTGTGTGGTCGTTGAAACAGCCAGTGTTGAATGATATTGCATGTACGTATGAATATCCATCGCATGGGCACTCCGCAGTTCTACATTGGTACAGGTCACATGGTTCATTCTGATGCCAAGTGCCACTTCTTGTTGTGTAGGCAAGAATACTCGAATTGGAGAAGAAGGTCGATAGCTTCGAGAGCAAAAAACAGGAATACAAGGCGGCATACGTATCCAAGTCCTTGCAATTTGATCAGCTCAACGAACAATTCGCTGCGCTCACCGAAGAGCTGATAACACTACAGGTAACTAAGAACACATAATGGTCGCAAATAGCAAACAAAGTGGTCTCTTATACTCGGTATACTGGTCCGAGGAGTTGTATCTAAGTAATTCGGTAGTTGTGTGCAGTTGTGTACAATCTGCGTGTTCGTTAGTTCATAGTCCGCATTTCAACGGAAGTAGCAGTTCAACGCTCGCTGTATCCAACATACGGTATGCATAACACGTAACGTATTCTATGGGACTAGAAATGCACGTGCTGGGCGCTATCGGGTGTTCACAAACTTACGATAGGCGTCTGGACTACCACTGGGTTGTGATGCGTTGCGTATCATAATAGTGTGGCTCAAACGAGTCATCCAGCTTCCCCAGGCTAAACTGGCTATAGAACGTTTATCGCTCGCATTATGTGCCATGGACGCGGATGGAATGAGAGAATTAAACGATTGAATGTAAATCAAATGTGACCGTTTGCTTAGTTTATTCGGAAGAATGCTTTGAGAGCCCCATTATATTCGTTGCACTCTCAACTATCAAGGCTAGAGATACTGCAGAAGCTTTGCGCATTGTATCATATATATATATATATATATATATATATATATATATATAATATATATTATATATACA